ACTGATTTCTGAAGATCATGTGACACTGAAGACTGGAGGAATGATGCTGAAAATACAGCTGCGCATCACAGAAATACATTACAGTTTAACAGAGATTCACACAGAAAACAGCTGTTTTACATTCTAATAATATGTAAGCATGTTTAACATAAATGAGAACACTATAATGCTTCTGTTCAGTTTATGTCAGCGTCCTGCACGTGTGTGAGCTGTGGGTTTTGGCAGAGCCATGCGCGTGTCTGTGAGCAGACGGTGAGTTCGCGGAGAGCCGGAAGTGCAGGTGACCCGCCGCGATGCCAAGCTGCTCTGAGAGGGTGCTTTGCTTTTCCTCCCCCGTTACGGTCATCTGGGCCTGCGGAGAGCCGGATTAGCTCTGGATCCACACCAACACTGCACAAGAAACACCGCGTTCACTCTCCCTCACATTTCTACAAGATAATAACCTCTGTAATGTTGTGTCTGCACTCAGACAGAGGTCATGTGCATCACGGCCGGATTGCAGATTGCATCTCATTTAGGTGAACTTGGGTTCAGTTTGTGGACTGGCTGATGAATGGCTTTTCACACCGGCTCTGCAGCAGTTAGCGCGTCCGCGCGACATTCTGAGCTTAGCTCATCTCTACACATCAGATTTCAGAGTTATACTTTAGCTTATGGTTTCGTTATCAGGGCCTACATTCAACATGCATGCATCTAAAGCACCAGTGTGGAGCTTTTGAGACATTTTAGTTTCATTAAAGGGACAGTTCACCCAAAAATGATCATGATGTGATTATTGAATGTCGTTCCAAACTTGTATGACTTTCTTTGTGAGGCCCAAAACAACGCTGGACCACATTTACTTTCAGTGAATTTACAAAACAAATATTGCACAATACATCATAAAATGTCATACTGTAAGTGACATTGTTTTAATATTAAAAATATTAATATTAAAATCCATAGACTCCTTCTGAGACAAAAGTATAAATAATAAGATTTTTTTTTTTGTATTTTAGTTTTTTTTTAATAGTATTTTTACTTTTATATATTTTTTTATTTTATTTTAATACATTTTATTTGAATACATTTTCTCTCAGAAAATGCTAGTAAATTTCACAAAGAAATGGCAAGTAACAATTAAAATGCATTTTAAATTTAAAAATATATATTTTATATCATTGAGATACTATCATAGGTTTTTTTTTAAATATTTTAAATTAGATTTTATTTTTAGATTTTCTGCTTTAATGTTAATTTTAGTTGAACGTTTAGTAATTGTATTTCTTTTTGTCATTTTTATTATTTTTTTTTTTATTTGTTGTTGTTGTTGTTATATATATATATATGAGAAATGCTGCAGTGGCAAATACCTGAAATATAAGTTTACGTTTTTTATATTCGTTAAAATTGATTTTAATTCAAGTAACAAAAATGTTTTTTTTTTACTTTAGTTTTAGTTATAGTTATAGTAATATTTAGTAATAATCCTGCATTGAAAATTACCAGCACATTTTATGTTAAATTTACAGTCGTTTCTTTCAACCCTAAAACACCACACAATCACTAAATAAATAAATAAACAGATGAAATCATATTCATATTAACACAGAGCATTAGGCTGTATTTTTATGGACTTTTCTTAGAGTGTAGGTGGAATCCACCAAAGGTTAAAACTGGGTCTAACCGGAGAGTTAAAACAATGTTAACCCACAATTGAGTACAAAGTGCACTAGTTACTGAGCTTCAGGATGACAACTGAAGGAGAAAAGCATTTTAAAAATTGTAAAAAGTTTAAACAGTTTGATGCAAAAGAAGCGAGTGAGAACCAACATCTGGGACTCAAAATCTAATTCAAACAGAAATCTTTAGAATTTTGAAAGTTTGAAATACAACGAAATAATTGAAAAGAAGAATTAACTTAATTAAAAAAAAATTAAAAAGTTTATTTTTCTGACCTCACTGGCAGATATTTGTTTTCATTTTAAGAGAAAACTACATTTTTCACCTGTATTCAGAAAGTCCATTTTAGCAACAGAGATGCAAAAATCGCAAACCTCATAAAAATGAAGAAAACCGACCTTTCTGAATATTAAGCACCTCTTTTCACTGATCTTTTATTTATTTATGTATTTATTTTCCACTTCTTCTTACACACTTCTTTTCAGTAAAATCTAAAAATCCTTGAATCAAGACTTGATAAGCAAAAAGAAAAAAAAGAAAAATTTTGTTTATATTTTGTATACAAATATAAACATGCAATCTTTTGTTACATAAGACATAACTGACTGTGTTTATGTAACCTGTGTGTTTTAAACATAAACCTGTGTGTATTTGACAGTTTAAGCGCAATACGACATGAAAGAGAACTTACTTTAGTACTGAAGTGTCGCGTGACCGTCGCTTCTGTGCGCTCAGAAAACACTACATCAGAAGTTTAAACCGATATGGGTTCAAAACGCATGATTTCAGCACGATAGACATGATAATAAAAACTAAACAGATGCTTTTTTGTATTTGAGGTACTAGGCTCCGCCTTATTCTGGAAAAGGGGGCGGGGAGCATGAGCTCATTTGCATTTAAAGATACAGGCACGAAAACAGTGTGTTTCTGCTTCCACTCAAAACAGGCATTTTCAGAATGATATAATAAATGATCTGTGGGGTATTTTGAGCTGAAACTTCACAGACACATTCTGGGGACACCTGAGATTTATATTACATCTTGTAAAAAGAGGCATAATAGGTGCCCTTTAACAGCTTGAATTAGTTCGTTAGTTTCCATTTTAGTTTAAGTTTTGGTGTTTTTGGTCATTTTAGTGTTTTTGTTTTTTAATATATCTATGTAGTTTATATATATACAGTGGGGAAAATAAGTATTTGATCCCCTGCTGATTTTGTAAGTTTGACCACTTACAAAAAAATTAAGGGTCTATAATTTTTATGGTAGGTTTATTTTAACGGATAGAGACAGAATATCAACAAAAAAATCCAGAAAAACACGTTATATAAAGGTTATAAATTGACTTGCATTTCAGTAAGTAAAATAAGTATTTGATCCCCTACCAACCAGCAAGAATTCTGGCTCTCACAGATTGGTTACGTGCTCAAGTGGAACACAGATTAGTCCTGCCACTTTAAGAAATTACTCCTAATGTCATCTTGTTATGAGTATAAAAGAAACCAGTCCACAGAATGTGTATCTTCCATTCAAACCTCTCCCACCACCATGGGCAAGACCAAAGAGCTGTCAAAGGACGTCAGAGTCATGATTGTAGACCTGCACAAGGCTGGAATGGGCTACAAGACCATCAGCAAGAAACTTTTTGAGAAGGAGACAACAGTTGGTGTGAATATTCGGAAATGGAAGAAATACAAAATAACCATCAATCGGCCTCTGTCTGGTGCTCCATGCAAGATCTCGCCTTATGAGGAAAGGGTGGTCATGATAAAAGTGAGGGATCAGCCCCAAACTACACAGGAGGAGCTTGTTAATGATCTTAAGGCAGTTGGGACAACAGTCGCCAAGCAAACCATTGGTAACACACTACGTTGCAATGAGTTGAAATCATGCAGTGCCCGCAAGGTCCCCCAGCTCAAGAGGGTACATGTACAGGCCCGTCTGAACATCTAAATGATTCAGAGAAGGCTTGGGAGAAAGTGTTGTTGTCACATGAGAACAAAATTGAACTCTTTGGCATCAACTCGACTTGCTGTGTTTGGAGGGAGAGAAATGCTGACTATGACCCCAAGAACACCATCCCTACAGTCAAGCATGGAGGTGGAAACATTATGCTTTGGGGCTGTTTCTCTGCTATGGGTACAGGATGACTTCACCGCATTGAAGGACCGATGGACAGGGCCATGCACCGTAAAATTCTGGATGAAAGCCTCCTTCTCTCAGCCAGAACACTGAAGATGGGTCATGGATGATGGGTCTTCCAGCATGACAATGACCCAAAATACCACCAAGGCAACAAAGGAGTGGCTCAAAAAGAAGCACATTAAGCTCATGGAGTGGCCTAGCCAGTCCCCAGACCTTAATTCTACAGAAAATCTGTGGAGTGAGCTGAAACTTTGAGTTGCTAAGAAACCTTAAGGATTTAGAGAGAATCTTTAAAGAGGAGTGGAACAAAATCCCTCCTGAGATGTGTTCAAACCTGATGACCAACTACAAGACACGTCTTACCTCTGTGCTTGCCAACAAGAGTTTCTCCACCAAGTTTTGCTTGGGGATCAAATACTTATTTGACTCACTGAAATGCAAATCAATTCATAACCTTTGAACAGTGTTTTTTTCCTGGATTTTTTGCTTGATATTCTCTCTATCCGTTAAAATAAACCTACCACAAAAATTATAGACCCTTCATTTCTTTGTAAGTGGGCAAACTTACAAAATCAGTAGGGGATCAAATAATTATTTTCCCCACTGTATATAGTTTTAGTACATCAAGTTACATCAGACTAGAACAACAAACTAAATGACGAAGATGAGAAATGTTTCCTTGGCAACCAGCTGAAATAAAATAGGGTTAATTATTTTAAATATTTGATTTGATTTCAGTCAACATTTCCTTTATTTGCAATAACTATAAGTTGTTTTTTTTTAGTTTTAGTTAACTATAATACAGTTAACAGGGTTGCAAATGTGTGGCACAGCAAAACACACCAAACATTTGCAGTTCCATGTTGTTATGGTTGATCTCACGACAGAACAAACATATGATTTCTGCCTGTAATGCTTTAGACAGTGTTTGTGGATGTGCCGCAGGTTCTGCAGCTCTAGAACAGCCTCCACTAAATTATTCCCTATAAAGAGCAGAATAATAAGACACTGAATCAGTAAACATCAACTACTGAAGCACTTTCTGCTCCAAACTGCATCTGAATGTGAACGGGACTTTGAAATATGATAAGTATGATAAATATGATAATATAATAAGGTAATAATAATAAAAAAGAGATATTATTCCAGTCAGCATCATATTTCTGTCGGTAAAAAGAAGTGTTCAAACCTTAGTAGTGCGTGTGTGTGTGTCTACACAGAGCTAAAAGACATGGACTTAAATCCACAAAAGTCTTATGTAAATTTAAAGACGAATTTGAGTGAAAGTACGTGTGCATTACATCTCATTGCTACGGTTGACCAGTGTTGTGTTGTCCATACGCTCTCATCACATCATCTAAACTGGCGGAGCTCCAGCGTGTGAGTCACTGAATGCTGGAAACGCTCATGTGTGTCTTCTCAAGCTTCATTCACACCCCTGCAGAGGAGCAATCTGGGATCTCGAACCCTTCTCTACCTGCTCAGCCATCTAACACTGGTTACATCTCACTGTATCAGTGACAGAAGCATTAGTAAACAGATGGAATGGAAGCAGTTACGGCTGGAATGTGGAACAGCCGCTTTGTCTTTAGACATACGAGTTCCTGAAGTATCATTAAGAAAGAGCAGGGTGTGGTCAGTGTTGACTTCAGGTGTACGTCACGAGCAGGAGTTTGTTTGAGTATTTATTGTTGCTATGCTACAGAGCCTACGTCATATTTATGTAAGGAACAGAAAAGAAAATGCATCACTTTTACGTCATCCACCAAAAACCTCTCAGAAAGTAATACAGATTTATAAAGGTATAGGACATGTTTTGTTTTTTTAAATCAAAATGATCATTCTGTCATCATTTATTCACTCTCGTGCTCTTCAAACCTGTATGACTTTCTTTCTTTCCCTGGAACATAAAAGAAAATATTTGGTAACCAAACGGTTTTGGTGCCCATTGAACAGAAACCGTTCTCAAATACCTCCTTTTGTGTTTCGCAGAAGAAAGAAAATCGATAAATACATAAATACATAAATACATAAACTGATTTCTAGAACAAACATTCTTAAATCAAGACTTCTTTAATTTAATCAGTTAAAGCAATCAACTTGAGATGCGGATATTTTGCCTTGTTTACTGACAAATTAATTAAAATTAGATGAGTATTTGCTTAAAACAAGAATAAATATCTTGCATTGGCATAATAAAAAAAATCTTTGTTTTTTATGTGAATTCAGTTTTTTTCTGTTTCTGTTTATTTCCCCGTTGGCAGATATTTTTTCTTGCTTTCAGCAAAAACACACTTCATTTGAATTAATCTGTCAGAAAACAATACGTTTCTGTGTCATTTTGAGCATAAACGCTTAAGTTTGATTCATTTTTTCAGAAAACAAGACTTTTTGCTTCTCGGGTAAATTATTTAAAAATCTTGCTTTAAAAAATGTTTAAATATTTGTATCAGAAACCAAGACTAAAATACTAAGTGATATTATTTTTTGCAGTGTACAGAATGACAAGAGGGCGAGTAAATGATCATATAATCTTACATTTTGCTTTAAGTGACTGGCTAATTGCTTAATATAACATTCAAATCCTACTAAGTGAGAACACACAGACTAAGTAAGAGAATCAATGCTAAAATACACAACTTGGGACTGCATTCATTTCTGTTTAAGCCCAGAGCGGAACTCGCTTATAAAACTGAACCATCTTTTTGGGACTTGTCGGTATACAGCTCAGAATTAATTTGAAGCATCATCGTGTTGTATTGTGAGCCTGGAGTCATTTCCCAAATGCAGACAGCACTGGAGTGTATAACAGGCTATTCCTCTGCAATCCTCACCCGCACTGTGTACACATTTGCATGGGTTTATAACAATTCATGATTGCAAAAACCTTAAACCTCATGCATACAGGAGCTTGGTTTACCCGACCAATGAAATCTGAGCCGTGTAAGGCGTCGACGTGCTGATACTATAGAAAAAGCAACACAACACGGCTGTATCGTGTTACTATATCTGTAGCACAGATGAATAATTGGGTTTTGATTTACAGACAATGCATTAATAAATAGCTTGTTTATTTTGTCATCATATGCATGTTATTTAAAAAGCAATGCATACTGCATAACCCCATAAAGTCACAACAAGGTAAACCCACAGACTTGAGTGTACTGGTGTGTTTGCATAGGTGGTGATGACGAAAGCACGGCCAGCCAATAGCATCGCAGTATTTATTTATTTATTTTTGTTTGTTTGTTTGTTCAAGCAAAAGGACAGATTACACCCCAGTGGACAAATGACCAGAGTCACTCCGCTCACTTAATGTAGGCTATTTATTTATGTATTTATTTACACCTTCTTATCTACTTAATACGTCTGAAATTAATTAAAAGGATCCACTTTTATTGTTAGTAGGTCGTATTATAAGCTCCAACGCTAGAATCAGATTTAGCTATAAACTGTAAACATCGCGCAGTTATGATGCGTCTCCATAAATCAACATAACAAAGGAGCCAGTTTAATAATATTATGTTTAGATCTCCTACGTGTGGGAGAAAGATCACTAGGAACGCCAGCCATTAATGTACTAAACGCTTATTGGTCGAGGGGCGGGTCTCTTTGGTTGTTGACGTAGCGCGCGGCCTATCAGCACGGAGAACTCGGAGGCGACTGCGCGTTTGTCCAATGGTAAGCGCCGCTGAGGTTTTGACCTCTGAAAACCGCATCACCGCCCCCATCGTGTCCGTGGCGGAGGAGCGCTATAAAGCAGATCCAGGCAGGAGTTTAAAGGGCAGAGTTGTAAAAACTCCCAGGCAGTGGGGAGTCGGATTGCCTGACGACAGACTCCAAAAAAACAACACGGTTCCTGTTGACTGGAATAATCTTGTCCATAACTGTTAGCTAGGAACCGAAGAGGAGAGGAAAGCACGGGCGTTTAATGTAAGTATCTGGCTGTGGATTATATATGGCATTGCTTCAAAGGGCTAACGTTAGTTTCCTCAAAAATGGTGTTATTCAAACCTGTTTGACTCGGTGGAGCACGAAAGGAGGCGTTAGGCAGAATGACAGCATTCGTTTTACACCAAATGCATTGAAGTACAACAGTGAGCGAGGCTGTCAGTCCCCTAAAATCATCCTTTTGTGCTCCACAACAAAGCGAGGACGCGAAGGCAAACATCTGACGGAGCTGTCATTTTGAGTGCGCTGTCTCTTTAAGAAACGCATTGAAATTCTGATTCCGCGAGACGGAGAGCTGGCTGTTCTTGATAAATGCTCGGTTTCCTCGCGAATAGCTGTCTGAAACGTGCAGTCATGTGAGCTGCTCTCTGTGTCTCTAGTGTACTGTGTGTGTGTGTGTGTGTTTTACGGACATGTCCAATCAGCCCTGCTTGACCCGTACCGAATCCCGTGCCAAAGTTCCTATTTACGCCTAAAACCCGTCGTTTGTTTCTCCGCTGGCTCTCCAGATCGATCGAGCTCCTCCGTTTACAGTTCTGTCGTCAGAATGTTCCCAATACCTATTCGTACTCTCAATGGCCGCGTCTCAAATTCTACGCGTACAGCACGACGCAGCCGACGTCTGCGCAACCGCACTATTTAACGCGTTTCGCTCGCCATACGCGAAGGTTTACGCGAAGGTTTACGCAAAGATTTAGCGTTATATTTGGTGTGCTGGACTCATTTGGTCAAGGCTACACACCCCGTGATGCTATTGGTCGCGAGCTTCGGGAAATCCGATCGCAGGGGTGTTGCGCAACGCGTGTCGCATTGTGTTCGAATGCCCTATATTCACATAAAGGCGTTTTTACGCAACAGTTGGCGGAATAAAGCAGGGAAGAGAATCCGCGTTATGCAATCTCCCTGATGCACAGTCCACTTACACCTTGCATTTAGGCCTCTCACTCTTGTGTCTGTATCAGCTGTGTTTGTTTGCATGGTTTATGAGTCTGCTTCTCAATACCGTGCCTCTTTTCCCCCTTCAAGGAGCGCGAGAGGATTTTCCTGTGTTACAGCAAGCGTTTCTCGTCCACCAGCACTTCTGGGTCCCCACTGAACACCGCACAGACAAACAGCTATGCAGCTCGAAATCCAAGTAGCGCTGAACTTCATCATTTCGTACCTGTACAACAAACTCCCGCGGCGGCGAGTCAACATCTTCGGCGAGGAGCTGGAGAGGCAGCTGAAGAAGAAATACGAAGGACACTGGTACCCCAACAAGCCATACAAAGGATCCGGGTTCAGGTGCATCCACGTGGGCGAGAAGGTGGATCCGGTGGTGGAGGAAGCAGCCAAAGAAAGCGGGCTGGACATCGAGGACGTCCGCAACAACTTGCCTCAGGACCTCAGCGTTTGGATCGACCCTTTCGAGGTGTCCTACCAGATTGGGGAAAAGGGAGCGGTTAAGGTGCTATACGTGGACGATAGCGGCGAGAACGGCTCCGAGCTGGATAAGGAGATCAGAAACAGTTTTAACCCGGAGGCTCAGGTCTTCATGCCAATCAGTGACCCGGTGGGTGTCTCGTCTGAGTCCAGTTCGCCGTCGCCGCCACCGTTTGGCCAGTCGGCGGCCGTCAGCCCGTCCTTCATGCCGCGCTCCACCCAGCCTTTAACCTTCACCACAGCCTCGTTCGCCGCCACCAAATTCGGCTCCACCAAGATGAAGAACAGCAGCCGCAATGGCGGCAAAGTTGCACGCAGCTCTCCCACCAACCTGGGCCTGAATGTCAACAGCCTCCTCAAGCAGAAAGCCATCTCCGGCTCCGTGCATTCGCTCTACGGATTCGGTCTGGGAGCTTCGCCTCCGCAGCAGAAAGCGTCTGCGCTCTCGCCTAACGCCAAGGAGTTCGTGTTCCCCAACCTCCAAGGCCAAGGGAGCTCCGGAGACGCCATGTTCCCGAGTGAGAACCCCCTCAGCCCTCTGCAGTACAGCAATGCCTTCGACGTGTTCGCGGCCTACGGGAGCATCAACGACAAGTCACTCATGGATGGCTTAAACTTAAGTCTCGGCAACATGCAGTATTCAAACCAGCAATTCCAGCCGGTCATGGCTAACTGATGTTCGGATGATTGTTGGCAAAAGGAAAACGAAAGGCAAAGACGCACAACTGTGGATTTGGAAACCAAGATCCCTGTTAGTCACTGATAAGCGCATGTGCCCAAGGGTGTTTGTTTCACACTCTTTGATTATTTTCTCCCTTCGATCTTTCTCTGCCCCCTTGAGTTTGTACTAAAAAGCTTGTTACTTGCACACAGACACACACACAGGTTTGTTTTTGTGAAAAGTGGGGACTCTCCATAGGCGTAATGGTTTTTATACTGTACAGACCGTATATTCTATTGTCCTACACCAACCCTACCCCTAAACCTACCCCTCACAGGAGACTTTCTGCTATTTCAGATTTTCAATACACTCCATTCTGTGTGATTTATAAGCGTTTTGAAAAGTGGGGACATGGGGTAATGTCCTAAAAAGTCACCTTCTCCTTGTCATACCTTTGTCATTATACAAATGCATGTCCTCATTTGTCACAAAAACGCACTCAGACACGCACACAAACACACACTTACATGTCCGAGTTCAATTACATCGGTCAACAAGCATCTTTTCTTTTCCTTTTTTGTCAATAAAGCAAAAAATTATTATTATTTTTACAACCTTTAGGAAAAAAAATACTCTAAAACATTGGAAGAAAAAAAAAGAAAGACAGAAGCTTCAAGTTCTGGCCTCTTACAGTATTTTAAAGTTGGTAAGACTTGGCTGATTTTTAAGAAATTGGCACTAATGCATATATATATCTGGGGTTACAAGGTCTTTTTTTCTAATTGTATAATTTAATTGAGTACAGAGTTTGTAAATTATCAGAGTAAATATATATATATATATTGTTTCTACAACATGGTATTGCATTTATATCTTTTTACTACTCCAGTGATCTGTGATGGCTGCAGAAGCTTTATCTTATAATATATTTTGGTTTTTCTTTTTTTTTTAAATTGCTAAAGAAATTAATCTTTAAAAACGGATAAAAAAAATTCTAAAGATCGTGTACAGAATATTCCTTTAGTGTTGGAATTTCAGTGTAGGACTATGTGCTTTTTTAAAACAAAAAGTTGTATTTTCTGTTAAGAGTTCAACAGATTTTTGCTATATGGACAATGTAATCGTATATATTAATTTTGTACCTACATTGTGCAATACTTGATGATAAAATATGGTATAACAAAGTATTTTGAGTCAGTGTCTTACATGTCAAGAGGGACTGAAATAGTTTATATTAAGTTTGTATTAAAATGCTTGACTGGGCCTGAATGTCAACAGCCTCCTCAAGCAGAAAGCCATCTCCGGCTCCGTGCATTCGCTCTACGGATTCGGTCTGGGAGCTTCGCCTCCGCAGCAGAAAGCGTCTGCGCTCTCGCCTAACGCCAAGGAGTTCGTGTTCCCCAACCTCCAAGGCCAAGGGAGCTCCGGAGACGCCATGTTCCCGAGTGAGAACCCCCTCAGCCCTCTGCAGTACAGCAATGCCTTCGACGTGTTCGCGGCCTACGGGAGCATCAACGACAAGTCACTCATGGATGGCTTAAACTTAAGTCTCGGCAACATGCAGTATTCAAACCAGCAATTCCAGCCGGTCATGGCTAACTGATGTTCGGATGATTGTTGGCAAAAGGAAAACGAAAGGCAAAGACGCACAACTGTGGATTTGGAAACCAAGATCCCTGTTAGTCACTGATAAGCGCATGTGCCCAAGGGTGTTTGTTTCACACTCTTTGATTATTTTCTCCCTTCGATCTTTCTCTGCCCCCTTGAGTTTGTACTAAAAAGCTTGTTACTTGCACACAGACACACACACAGGTTTGTTTTTGTGAAAAGTGGGGACTCTCCATAGGCGTAATGGTTTTTATACTGTACAGACCGTATATTCTATTGTCCTACACCAACCCTACCCCTAAACCTACCCCTCACAGGAGACTTTCTGCTATTTCAGATTTTCAATACACTCCATTCTGTGTGATTTATAAGCGTTTTGAAAAGTGGGGACATGGGGTAATGTCCTAAAAAGTCACCTTCTCCTTGTCATACCTTTGTCATTATACAAATGCATGTCCTCATTTGTCACAAAAACGCACTCAGACACGCACACAAACACACACTTACATGTCCGAGTTCAATTACATCGGTCAACAAGCATCTTTTCGTTTCCTTTTTTGTCAATAAAGCAAAAAATTATTATTATTTTTACAACCTTTAGGAAAAAAAATACTCTAAAACATTGGAAGAAAAAAAAAGAAAGACAGAAGCTTCAAGTTCTGGCCTCTTACAGTATTTTAAAGTTGGTAAGACTTGGCTGATTTTTAAGAAATTGGCACTAATGCATATATATATCTGGGGTTACAAGGTCTTTTTTTCTAATTGTATAATTTAATTGAGTACAGAGTTTGTAAATTATCAGAGTAAATATATATATATATATTGTTTCTACAACATGGTATAGCATTTATATCTTTTTACTACTCCAGTGATCTGTGATGGCTGCAGAAGCTTTATCTTATAATATATTTTGGTTTTTCTTTTTTTTTTAAATTGCTAAAGAAATTAATCTTTAAAAACGGATAAAAAAAATTCTAAAGATCGTGTACAGAATATTCCTTTAGTGTTGGAATTTCAGTGTAGGACTATGTGCTTTTTTAAAACAAAAAGTTGTATTTTCTGTTAAGAGTTCAACAGATTTTTGCTATATTATGGACAATGTAATCGTATCTATTAATTTTGTACCTACATTGTGCAATACTTGATGATAAAATATGGTATAACAAAGTATTTTGAGTCAGTGTCTTACATGTCAAGAGGGACTGAAATAGTTTATATTAAGTTTGTATTAAAATGCTTGAAATAATAATATGCTTGTCTTTTCTTTTTTTATTTGACATTTGCACCCTGGCCTTTTTCAATAAAAGAGAATTTAGGCAAGAATAAACTACTGGTGTTCCTTTTTCTTCCATGTTACGAAATGAGCATCATTCATCAGTAATTTAATAATTCATGTCATGATTTGCAGGATCTTACATTTGATCGGATATCGACATGCTTAAATAAAAGACTTTGACAAGAGAGAATATGATTCAGATTCAAAATGATTGCTGAAGCAAAAAATGGCCCCTAATGAACATGTAAGGTACTCAAAAACACTTCTAAAAATGACATTTTTCTTAAGTTCTCAAATGTTTTTGGCAGATTAGACTGGAGCAAATGATGAGCCAAAAAGTGGCCATGCATAATCATTTCTGACCTTCTCAGAATTAAATGCATGCATTAAGAACTGAACGTGATAATTCCTGTCTGAAAGCAGCTGGATGTTGTGCTAAACAGTCAAACACTGCAGTGCGTAATGAACGTGTGCTTTCTGTAAGGTGACCTTTAGAAGATTAATAAGAGCTTTGGCTGATTCATTCATTTCTGTGTCTGTGTTATAACTAAAACTAATGATCAGGTGGCATTTCCTCATGGCTCACAGGTGAGAAACTCTTAAAAATCTGAACTGTAAACCATTTTGGAGCACAATCCCAAATGCGGTGAACGTTGAAAACAAATCACTCGTGTTTGCTCTTATTGCATTGCATTGAGAGGCTTATTGCAATAGTGCAGCGCAACAATTAAGCTTCAAATGGCCACTTTGTTTGTGCAAAGCCTCCGTGAGAGCGAGCGTTTTGAGATTACACTGGTCATGGCATTCACAATGTGCACTTGTTTATTTTTAATACTGCAGTTTGAGACTTCGCTGATGCCAGCGTGGATGCAGATACAGCGCCATCTGCTTATCTCAAGTGTGTTTTGGCAGTGGCAGTTATTTTGGTTGCAACTTAAGCATATCAACATGAGGAAAACCAGGTTATTTGACGATGTGTTTTCTTATATGCACTAGGCTTGGTTCGAAAGACATGAACAAACACCAAATCTTTTTATTACAGCGACCCGATGCATGTTTGATATTGTCTGGAGTGACTCCAAACCTTTAGGGAAGGATGTGCAAAGCATAAAATAAATAAAAGATGCATATTGCAGTAGAAAGTCCACATATTAGAAATAATGTGGACTTTCTATTGCAGTATGCATCTTTTATTTTCTTTTATGCTTTGCATGTCCTACCCATACAGCAAAAAACAAAAACAACAAAAACATTTAAATTACAAAGAAAAATTATTTGCTAAAATACGTTCCAAGATATATTTACTTATGTTTTTTACTACTATATTTAAAAAATATATATATAAATATATTTTTTAATAAAAATATATTTTATATATAAAATACATTTTGCCCTCCATATATTTAAATCCAAGAAAATACATTGAAAATACATCACATAAAATACGTATTATTTATAACATAACACACTAGTATAAAATTCAGCAAGAAACATACTTTACAATGTTCCAAAAAAATACTGGATACTGTATACATATTATTATTATTATTAAATCATTGTAATCTAGGCTTTTCCATCCACATTTGCATTCAGCCCATATATTGTGAGACTGGAAATGTATTTTCTTGCACCTGAAATACATTTTGAAATATATATTGATATATTAAGGTTGGAACTAAATATATGTCAATTTCAATAATATATTTAATTGAGCTTCGCTGCTTATAACATATATTTAGCAAACAAATTAAATAAAAAAATTTTCCTGGCCAATATATATATATGTCATATGATATGAGGCACATTTCAGGCACTACTGAAACAATTTCCTGAGAATCTCATAAACATATAGATGTAATATTATACACTTCAGATTTAGTTTCCAGCTCCTTCTGATCCATCGCCAGTGTCTATGCTATAGTAAAGCACAAGCATTTGAAGGCAGTGCAAGCCACTTTACCACAACGTGATCTTTCCCAGCGTGCTGCAGATCTTTCAGAGACACACTGTACGCTATGAGAGCAGTCCATCAAGGTCAGTAACAGGTCAGGATCTGGACACAGTCAGATCAGAATACCTCCGATGGGCCTTTCTTTGCATCAGCAGCATTACACCGTCCGCTGCAGACATGCACACAGCTTTGAGCTGCATGTGAAATGCATCGGCACGTTACGTATTGTTCTCAGTCAGAGGTGTTTTTCTGTAGTCTTGCTCTTATGTGCGTGAAGTTCAACACCCTCAGTAAAAATGTGTGACTTCTGCGTGAGGAACAGCTTGCAAGTCAGGAACATCTGGTGAATGATACTAGACATTTTGTAACTTGCATAATGTAAAAAATAATTTTTTTAAAAATTTGTAAATAAACCAACGATTATTGGAGTA